GCTACATTATTGTAATGTGCAGGTGTTGGCGCGCGTGATGTCCGGCACGCTGTACGCGGGGCAGGCGGTGCGCGTGCTCGGAGAGAACTACAGCGCGCAGGACGAGGAGGACTCGCGCCTCATGAACGTCGGCCGGCTCTGGATATACGAGGCTCGGTACAAGGTCAGTCACCACAGGCAGGTAGTCTCACTAAGGCAGTTGTAGTCTCGCCGAGGCAGGAAGCCTCACTGAGGCAGTATCTTATTGAGGCACTTATAGTCTCACCATGGCAGTTATAGTCTCACCAAGGCAGTTATAGACTCACCAAAGCAGTTACAGTCTCAGCAAGGACATTATAGTGTCACCGAGGCAGTTTTTCATTGATGCAGTTGTAGTCTCACCGAGGCAGTTTCTCATCGAGGCAGTTGTAGTCTCACCAAGGCAGTTGTAGTCACATGAATGCAGTTGCAGTCTCACCGAGGCACTTATAGTCTCACCGAGACATTCATAGCTTAAAGAGTTAGTTGTAGTTTCACCAAGTCAACTGTCCCATTGAAGCCTCACTAAAGCATATGTAAATGTCTCAACAAGGTAGTCTTAAGTGCCTTAATAAGGTATGTGTATATGCCTTATTGAGGCAAATTTAGATTAGATGTAATATTTTATTTGATGAACTTAGGTGGAATTGAACCGCGTGCCGGCGGGGTGCTGGGCGCTGATCGAGGGCATCGACCAGCCGATAGTGAAGACGTGCACGGTGGTGGCGGCCGAGGAGACGGAGACGCTGCACACGTTCCGCCCGCTGCGCTTTAATACGCACGCCGTCGTTAAAATCGCCGTCGAGCCTGTCAATCCCTCGGAACTGCCAAAAATGCTGGACGGACTGAGGAAGGTAGTTATGACTACATTTTAATCAGTAGTTTATGAAATACTAGCTCTTGCATGCGACTTTGTATAGTAAAGATTGTAACTTTTAGTTCCTTACGATTGTCGTTTGCCACTGTTAATACCACGACCACACAAAAAACAGGTGTCAAGTGGGAGCAATTCCGCGTTTCG